CAAACTTGTTAGCACAGTCTTGTAACAAGGCTGATAATGCCATCAAGCTTGTTACAAGTTGTTAACAGTTTGTTTCAAACTTGTTAGCACAGTCTTGTAACAAGGCTGAGAATGCCATCAAGCTTGTTACAAGTTGTTAACAGCTTGTTTCAAACTTGTTAGCAGTCTTGTAACAAGGCTGATAATACCATCAAGCTTGTTACAAGTTGTTAACAGCTTGTTTCAAACTTGTTAGCACAGTCTTGTAACAAGGCTGATAATACCATCAAGCTTGTTACAAGTTGTTAACAGCTTGTTTCAAACTTGTTACAACAAACTGTGAACAAGCAATGCGAACACAACTTGTCGACAGCTTGTGAACATACTTGTAACAGCTTGTTTGCAGACTTGTTACAAGCTGTGCGTTTTTATGTGTGTAGACAGGGAGGTCCAATATTATATTTTTTACAATGCCTACAAATCTACAATAATTACAGTTAATACAAATTTCAGAACAATATATAGTTGATATAGCATGCAATGGAGAAGTCAATCACCATTGGGGATGCCACAATTTACTAAATGAGCACATAGCTAATGAGAAAGAATAGACCTTACCGATTATTCTTTTACCCAATGGCCTCGTTTCCATGTTAACTTATTTTAGCATGTCAGGGGAAGATAAAGATTATATTCCCATGTTTTCCTGCACGAATTTGTTTCTTGCTGTTCTTAGGCTCAATAACAAAGTAATTTTTAACCCTACTAAGCACAAAACACGAGTACGTGTTTGACATGAAAACGAGGCAATTGGGTAAATAGAGAATAATCGGTAAGGTCTATTTGCTTCCAAAAATTTGAGGGGCTGTCAATTCATTGCGCTCTTGAATTTCAGTGTAAAATAGTATGATTTTCGTAGCGGATTTCGAGTTTTGAACGTTCGAAAATAAGAAAATGCGCTAAGTCTACGCTAAAAGTTACTATTCTGCCAACTTTGAGCTCCTTTAACTCAAACTTTTGAGCTCCATTAACTCAAGCTCAGAAGTGTTTTTTATACAGGGCTTCCACAATTTGGAATAGCCTTGATCACTTGATGACTCGAGCACTAAAATCTAGAATGACAGTCCAAAGTTTTAAACTTAATAAAAAGATTAAACTTAATATACGGATTTCTTAAATAAGTAGTCCTCTTCAAATGTAAATTTGAACCAATTGTTTTAAATTGGATTTTTTAGATATTATCATAGCATATTCGTAAATTCAAAACTCTGTAAATATAGCGATATCCAGTAGTTAGTATAATATTAAGAAGCACTGTAAATTAGAGCTGAAAAGCCTCTTGAGGAGTATCTAATAAATTATGTATGTATGTATGTATGTACTTTAACTTAAAATTTTGCATTTTTATTCATCATAGACATAGTACTTTCTTAAATTCTCAAATTATGGACCATAAAGCCAAAATCAGAAATAAATAAATGCATATACTCTAAGAAAATGTCAGTTGACAGCTTGTGACAAAAAATGACATCAAACAAATTTTGGTGTACCTTTTCAGGTTTTGGCTTTACCCCCAAGAACGCCTGGTCGCAGGTTAGGTGTTGGCCGGCCGCGTGTCAGTGATTTGTATACATATCTGGAGTATGGGCACAGAATATAGACTATATACAGAAGTCCGATCTTCAGTCTAATAGATGTATAAAAATTCCACTCGAAATAATTTATACACCAATACATATTCATACTTTATTTATACATGAACTTCTGGTTAGAGCTCGACAACTGTCTCTCTGTAGCTCAGTTGGTTAGAGCTCGACAACTGTCTCTCTGTAGCTCAGTTGGTTAGAGCTCGACAACTGTCTCTCTGTAGCTCAGTTGGTTAGAGCTCGACAACTGTCTCTCTGTAGCTCAGTTGGTTAGAGCGCTGCACCAGAATCGCTGGGCCACAGGTTCGACTGGCCTATAGCTCGCGGTTAGGTCTAAAAATTATATAAAATCCTTTATCGAGAAAAGCCCTTCTAATGCAAATACAGCCTTCCGCAAAGTACTTAGCTTGGCTATAGACCGCCTTGTTTCGACATTGAGATATTGGCTTTTGAGTCCTTTATCTGAATTGTTACAGGTGACATATTTGCCAAATCACATACAGCTATGTTAGATAATATTGAAGACCTTTATTTTATTAAATATAAAGATAATATCTCAATTCCTGCGATTCTAACCAACTACAGAGTCCAGCTCAAACACCACAAGTTATTGTATATGTATATTTATAATGTAGCATTTGTAAATTCTGAACGCTGATTGGCTAAGAGCCGTGTTGACATAAGTCAAAGTCAACACGGAAAATTTCTTTCTTTATATTTCTTTGTGCTATACTATAAAAAAATAAAACATTTTCCGCATTGATATAAATACTTATATCAACACTCGTGGGAATTGGGAAAACTGGAAATTATGACTTATAATTATACTCCGCCCTCTGGAGGTCGTGTTTCCACATAATTTCTTGTTTTCCCAATTTCCACTCGTGTTGATATAACTGTATATCAACACGGAAAATGTTTTATGTACTATTTAAAACACGAGCAGAAGCTAGTGCTCTCGCGCAGCTCGAGTGTTTTATATCTGATAAAGCACGGACCGCGAGCTTTTGAAGCCTTTGGGAACGAACGAGAACAGCGCGAGCTGAATTCAAACATTCCAACTTTCTGATGAAGGCTCGAAGTACCGAGTCGAAAGCTCAAAACATTTAAATTACATATATATATATATATATATATATATATATATATATATATATATATATATATATATATATATATATATATATATATATATATATATATATATATATATATATATATATATGTATATATATATATATTCCATGGGAGTTTATGTTTTGAACAAACAAAACAGAGACAGTTTGAAGACCATTTAAAAAAGGATTAAAGAAACACGAAATACTTTTTCCAGATCTAATTTTAAAACATATTTATAGGTTTAGTTTGCTGTCATAATTTGTATAACATCTGAAAGCATTCATTAAACTGCTTCTATGTTGAGGAATAAATCGACATGGTTTTGCTTTAAATAATTTCTCGATTGTTTCTTGCACTTGAAGACCTAAAAAATAAAACATTTTTAAATACAGTAATTCTAAAACTTTTTGGAAAGAGAATGTAACAAGTCAATCATGCATATAAAATAAATGATGCACAAAATCAGTCGTGCGTATAATAAATTATGCGTGAAAGGCCACTATCGCAAAAACGTCCGCGCGCATATATAGAAACATATACAATGTCTTATCAAGTAACAGACTATATATAAATAACTACAGTGAAACATGCAATTTGATTGGTCAATAGCCGTGCAGGATCAGGCTATCCTGCACGAGGAATTAAAATGCCTTCGTGGGATTTTCGCGGGATTCTCAAAATGCCATTGTTTCACTGTAGTTATTTTATAAAACAATTACCAAATGGTTTTCCAAGCAGGATAGCGTGATCCATGCGCTTGGGATGTTACTCGCCTGAGGCTCGAGTATTTTTACGCTTTCCGAAAGTTTCGCGACATCCCTCGCGCATGGATCACGCAATCCTGCACGGAAAACCATTCGGTATTCCTTTAATATGTTAGGCAAACTAGCAACACAAAGAAATTTTATATTTGGGATTACAATAGTAAGGATTGCTACATAATACACGTGACTCATGTTACGTGACTCGTGTTGCATATAAAGTACATTTTTTGAATAAAATAGGTAATTGGACAAGTACTGGTGCAAGACATTGTGTAGCCTAAATAATAAGACGACCAGTATAATTCCGGAAACGGTTGTTCTTAATTTCTTACTCAACTCCGACTCCTGTGATGAACATGTACGTAAAAAAAACTAGGGAAATTACGATTATGTAGAAACTAAAATAGGTGGAAATTTTTATGGGACACGATAAAAGGCGAGAGTAAGGAGCGATAGATTAAAGTCGAGGAGGAAGGCAACCCTGTTCAGAATTCAGGCAATTCAGTTCAGAATTGTTTCCAATAGCTTCTAAAAATTCTTGACAACTCTTTTTTTTCTCCAAAAATGTCATCACTACATTGTATAATTATCCATATCTAGTATTTGTTCATGTCTAAAAGGTTGTAAAGGTTAATAAATAAATACTAATTTTCGGGTGGCGTCCCGTGTTGAGAAAAAAGTCGCTTGTTAAGCTCACACGAATCAAATGCATACCTGTGCAGATAATCAATTTATCTTTCATCAAATAATTCACCGTCTTAGCAACTTTGGTAAAACATTCTTCGGTTAAAAATGGTGGATCCGCGAATACAACATCAAAGGACTTCTCAGGAATATGAGCAGGGATGTTCAGAGGTTCATTATAGTCGTAGAAAACAAAATCTCGGCCAAAAACTGCAAACCGTTTGTCGTATTCAAAAAGGTATATCTCACAGCCGTCTTGTTTGATCTGCTGAAGTTTTTTGTAAAGTGTTGGCGCGCATAAACAACAGATTCTGTAAGAAACGAGAACATATTAATATGACTTATTTGTAGGGACGGGTCA